GAGCACTATTCTAATACTGGCTAAGGACTTCCTTTGCTCTCAATCTTGTTCCTAGAGCCCCCTAACACTGCACATATTGCATGTCTCCTTTGTCTGAGGGTTTTTTACTACAACAATGTACTAAAAATGGACAACAACATTGTTAAAACAATCCCTGTTCACATGGATCAGTGAAAACGACATATAAAATGTGCAAAGTTGTTTCAGGCTCCAGGAGTGTGTTTGGGAACCACTGTACTTTTGGATTCAGATCCAGTGATTGGATAGGCCACTACATAACAGGGAATTCATTTTCATGTTCATGAAACTAGTTTGAGATGACTTTTGCTTTGTGATATGATGGAAGCAGGCATACAAGATTGGTAAATAATGGCCATGATGAGATGCACACGGTCAACAACAATATTGTGGCATTCAAGCAATGATTGATTGGTAGTAATGGGCCTAAAGTGTTTCAAGATCTTCCTCACACCATTACACCACTGCTAACCAGCCTGAACTGTTCATGCATGGCAGGTTCAGTCCATGAATTCATGCCGCCGAATTCATCAGACCAGGCTGTATTTTTCCAGTCTGTCCAGTTCTTGGCTGACTGAAGTGAAACCTGATGTGTGGTCTGCTGCTGTTGTAGCCCATCCACCTCAAGGTTTGATGTGCTCTGCTCATCACAGTTGTACAGAGTGGTTATCTGAGTCACATAGCATTTCTGTCAGCTCACACTAATCTCCATAGATCTCGCTGATCTAGAAGGCATTTCTGTTTACAGAACTGCAGCACAGTTCTTTGGCACCAAAGAGTAAACTCTTAAATGTGTGAAAGTCCCAGGAGATGCTGTGTATTTGTTTGTGTTTAGCAGCCAGTCTGGTCTCATTAGTCTGAGCTCAGTAGCTTTGACAGGAACAGATACCATGCAATAAAACAACAAATAATAATCATGTGTTCTGTTCTCCCTGCTAAGGTATCTCACAAATGATTTTTCCTGCCCCACAATAGGGGTGACCCTTTAGGTCAAGGTAAATTGCCCAGCAAAAGTTCAGTTAAGTTTTTGATAGTTTGAATTTATAGTTCTGATTTGGGGATTTAAAGGGAATTTGCAAACTGTGCAAAGAAGCATCTGTAAACTGAACTTCCCGCACAATTGCAGTGTCTTGCCAGGTATACTGGTATACAGGTATACTTATTCTGGAAAGGCTTTATTTCAGTTAATCCTTTTTTATTCTTCCTTTTAATTGATGTGTGCCAATTTTTTTTTATTTAATTTTTTAAGTAAAAATTTTATTCATTCTGGGTTCTTCTGAAATCATTATGACTAGTAGGTAAAGTGGAGTCTGGTGTTACTGATAAACTGAATGCAGCAGTGGCGCCTCCAGGAAATTTTTAATGGGGTGGCCAGAGGGGGACGGTAAAAATATTAGGGTGGCTCACTAAAACATATAGTGGAAAAAGTGGTAACCTGCAATTGTTATTTTTAAGTATCTATTTCTAGTTAATTTAACCCACAAACTATTTTTACTTTATCTAATTTTCCGTTGATGTAATTTGTCAGGTTAATATGCAGATTAACCCTCTGGGGTCAAAGACAGCACCAGTGTGGTCTGCCACGTTTTTTTATGATGACCTCGAAAAGAACTAAAAATACTCTGTCATTTATAATCGTACAGATAAGAGTGAGGCGTCATTTGAAACTACAAAGTGTCTACTTTTGTTTGTGTATAGTCAATAACAACAAAATAACGTGATTTTGTAAAATAAAGAAAATAAACAGGGTGCGCTTTCAGCCGTCTCAGTCTCCATGGATATCTTTCTGAAACGTGTCACTAAAATGAATCAAAACTCAGCGAATACTTGACACACAGACATGAGAAATATATCTATAGAAAGCTTGAAGTGTCTACTTTTAAAAGTTGTATCGGATACAAATATTTTCTGTAAACTCAACAGTTTTTAAATCAGAATCACTGTGCAAATTTAATGATATCTTGCACTTGCGCAGTTGCAGGCAGATCAAATCAGCTATGGAGTCAGAAGTAAATTATAAGTTGTTGTTGTTGTTAACAGAAGCACTAGAAAAGGAAAAGATATTACATGACTTTTCCCCACACCATTGGATCCCATTGTTGGGCCAGTCGATGTTCTGGCAATGCCACATAACTGCTGATTAGGTACTGTTTAAAGGGATAGTTCGATTTTGTAAAATAAAGAAAATAAACAGGGTGCGCTTTCAGCCGTCTCAGTCTCCATGGATATCTTTCTGAAACGTGTCACTAAAATGAATCAAAACTCAGCGAATACTTGACACACAGACATGAGAAATATATCTATAGAAAGCTTGAAGTGTCTACTTTTAAAAGTTGTATCGGATACAAATATTTTCTGTAAACTCAACAGTTTTTAAATCAGAATCACTGTGCAAATTTAATGATATCTTGCACTTGCGCAGTTGCAGGCAGATCAAATCAGCTATGGAGTCAGAAGTAAATTATAAGTTGTTGTTGTTGTTGTTTTTAACAGAAGCACTAGAAAAGATATTACATGCAGAATACTTTTCCCCACACCATTGGATCCCATTGTTGGGCCAGTCGATGTTCTGGCAATGCCACATAACTGCTGATTAGGTACTGTTTAAAGGGATAGTTCACCCAAAAATGTTATGTTTATCTGCTTACCCTCAGGGCATCCAAGATGTAGGTGACTTTGTTTCTTCAGTAGAACACAAACAAAGATTTTTAACTCAAACCGTTGCAGTCTGTCAGTCATATAATAGAAGTGAATGGAAATCACGGCTTTGAGAGCTAAAAAAAAACATATACAAACAAAACCAAATTAAACCCTGTGCGGCTCGTGATGATACATTGATGTGTAAAGACACAAAACGATCGGTCTGTGCAAGAAACTGAACAGATGGTCCTTTTAGGGGTAGATAAGGTACAAAGTTGTCCTTTTAAGGGAGCTGTTGTACCCCTAAAGGTACAATTTTGCAGATTTTTCTGACAGTGCAGGAGTTCTTGCATGCATTTCTGTGTTTAATGCAGAGAGATCAAAATAATACCCCTAATCACATAATGCAGACACACTTCCGTGTGATCAGTTTGTGGAGAATGTTTGCGACTGTGCCCTTCATAGGGAGCTTAAGCGATTTGTTTGTGGTAAATCTAGGTCCAACTTTTTTAATGGCCCAATTAGGTGGGAGTGTGAGGTCATGACAGTGTGTAATTGGGACTGCTGTCATTCTGCATCGTCAGCTTATGGAGTTTATGCATTGTACTGCCACCACATGATTGGCTTATTATAAAATCACATGAATAGTAGGTTTACAGGTGTTTCTGATAAAGTGAGTGTATAAAGTGCTGCATTTCAGCTGAATGATTAAGATGCCAATGTTCAATTATATTTAATAATAATAATAATATTCATAATCACAATTATTCCACCATGTAATTTACAGTAGCCCCCAAAAGGTTTTGGATGCTTTAGTGAAATGCCATTGTATTGAATTACAAAATATTTTAAGCCAAATATAATCTCTGCTTCATGATACTAGAGCTTTCCTTTTCAAATTCTCTTTTGTGAGTTTTAAGAGTTTTGAGTTTTATCACATTAATTATGAACTGATTTTTCCTATGAACATATAATGTTTTATAATCACAAAATGGTGCAGTACTTTTCATCTTCATTATCAACACTAGATTATATTTTTTTTTCTCCAAACTTTGTACAGGTTGTGGTAAAAGCACTCACTAATAATTTTTTTAACGCACAGACTGAAATATTTGTCTCTAGTTTCAATAGCTTTTGTAGCACATTCCAATCATTTGGGGCAGCAAATTCAAAAGTGTAATGACTATAAGTAGTTTTCTTTCAAGGGAGAGTTAAGGAAATATAGAGGATGATCTAGTTGTATATGTATTAGTATGAAGTTGCAGCAACTTTTGAAGATATTTAGGTAATAAGCCCAACAGAACTTTATAAATAAAGATATACCAGTGAAATTCCCATCTTGTATGCAATGATTTCCAATTCAAAAGAGAGTTTAATTCACAATGATGCGTTCTGTAGGGTGCATTAGTAATCAATCTAATTGCTGCATGGTACAACACATCTATTTGTTCCAGAACACCTTTACCCGCATTTCTATATACCACATCACCATAGTCAAATAAAGGTAAAATGTGGTAAACACAGATCTATTTCGGTACAAAAAAAACTAAGTCTAGATTTAACTTTCTTTTGAAGATTAATTATATGATTAGTAAAAGCTTAAGAGCTATCAAGCCAAATTCCGAGATATTTATATGAAGATACTACTTCAATTTTTGCCCCATCCAGAGATATGTCTTTATTACCTTGTTGTTTTTTTCCAAACCACATTACTTTTGTTTTTGTGCTATTTAGAACTAAATTTAAGTCTTGAATAATATTAAAATTGTCCTGTGCCTGTTTTAAAATGTAATCATATGACAATCCTACAGCATAAATAATTGTATCATCTACATATAAGTGAATATAGGTTTTCTGACTACAGATGACCTGAGAAATATTATTAATGTAAATTGAAAACAGGGTTGACGTTAACACAGAGCCTTGAGGGACCCCCTTTTTAATAGTTAATGGTTCAGATAATTGTTGATCAATCTTTACATATGTATTGCATCTGTTAAATAAATAGTTAGAGAACCAAGATAAGGTTAGATTAGACACAACAATACTACGAAATCTGGATAATAAAATAGAAGGATCAACTGTATCAAAGGCTTTAGCAAGATGCACAAAATTGTTGTTTCTAATGCATTATAAATATCGTTCATAACTTTTACAACTGCTGTAATACAACTAAATGATGAACGATAACCAGATTGGACTTCAGATAAGATGTTACATGTATTTCTCTATCACCTTTGCAGCACAAGGCAAAACGATACAAATTTGGATCTGATATATCTCCATTCTTATAGACAGGAGATACAATGGCTATTTTCCAAATAAAATAACAATATCATTATTGCAGTTTGTCTCCGAGGACAGGCAGACATGCTGCTTAAGACTACATGCTACTTTTTTGCGGTGCTTGAGAGTAACATAAAGCAAACAGATGGCCAGAGTGGTTCTTGGTTTTCTGTAAGAAACCCAGCTGAACAACCTTAATGACAATCCCACGTTTTCCTTATCAAGTCTGACACAATTTGAGAACATCTTCTAGCAATAATGGAGGAAATCCCACAGTTTAATACTTAGAATTATGGTTTATTTAACAAACCGAGGCCTCTTTAGTCCATTTAGAAAGGTTTATAACATACTACATAAAAGTCTATAAAGCATGGGAAGAGTAGGCTTTGAATATAATGACTTTACTTAATAGAATTTCTGTTTGTCTCTGCAGGGAAGATATTTAAGTCTGTGCCAGGAAAACTGATCAAAGAGGTAAGAATTTGGATGTAGGTTAGATTTTCTGTGTATTTCACATTAATTCATAAATTCACATTTCCTGGTGTTATGAATGATTCATCATTTCACATTATTCCAAATGTAACAGTCGTCTTTAGTTACCATGCACATTTCCATGCTAGCTATTGCTGGATCGAGCCCTGCATTACAGTGATATTAGTCTTTCAGTGCAGTGCTGCCCTGTACGGTGCCTGTTTTCTCAGATGTACACGTTCAACTTATGTTTACTACATTAATTTCTTTATTACTTTATTATTCTGCCGTTTGGTCAAGACCATCTGTTTGTTCAACCTAGGGATGCACCGATACCGATACTGATACTGGTATTGGTATCGGGCCCGATACTGGTCTCCTGTACTCGTACTCGTTAAAATGCCCCGATACCAAACGCCGATACCACACAGCATGTGATAAGCGCCATATTCAGACAAAGAAACACCGACAACAGACAGCAGAATGGAGTTAAGGATGTCCACTACGAAGTATATGTATGCAATGAATATAATGTTAAACATTCAGTATAAACGCTTGTATAGCTGGTGTGCGCGAGCTGATAAACAAAGAACACTGAGTGGATTGAGCGCGCGGTGGCGCTGATGCGCGAGCTTGTCGAGTGAATATACCTTTCTCACAGATATCACTGGAAAGTTTGTAGTTCGGTCGGATATGTCAAAAACAAGTAAGTAAAACAATGCACAAGTTACTTAACGGTAGGGAGAGAGAGAGAGAGAGAGCGCAATTCTGTTGTGTGATCTTTGATGTTCACTCACTTAGCACATGCATCATTTGGATTAAAACTAAATCGTAAAAATAAAACCATTCATAGGGGCATTCACTATAAACATAATTTATTTTCAACCTTAGGCATACACGACTTTCTGGCGAAAGTGAAACTAACAGCCTGTGTGAAATGCGCTAGACTGTACTACTGTCCTCTCATTCTGCACCAGTACAAATACCTGCACGCGTTGCGTGTGTTTTGCTTGCTTGAGTGTTTCTGCATTATATGAGTGGCTTTGGAATATAAATCGCAGCACGTTTCAGATGAAAAAATGTGACTTCTATTTCTGAAAATATCACAGTTAGGAGATTTATAACGAGTAGTTTCCTGCATTATTACAGCAAAGTGCGTGATTGCGGTACTAAGCCGCTGCAATGGAGCAGCTCTAATGCTATTAAATTAAAGATGATGGTACCATAGAGCAAAAAATTAACAGTGAAAGTAACAAAAACTTGTAAAATACATTTTAATGATCATAATTAAGTGTGAAAATAACCAAAGGATATACAGTGAAACCAAAAATGATTCAGAGACCAGATATAATTTTTTTATATATTTTTTTACTAGTGGGTGTAGGACACTATTTTGCTATCCTCACTTACATAAATTAACTGAAGTTGAGGTTTTCATGAAGCTGGGTGACAGCATGCTCAGGATACTACATGCTGTCATTAAGGCTAAGGGTCACCCGACAAATTATTCATAGTTGTGTAAATACTGTCATACTAACAGCTGTCTGAATTGTTTTGGTTGATTGTAATCTATTACATACCTTTCTATCAAAATTATCTAACATTATCAAGATGAATTTGTTCTGACACAGTGTAACTCTGAGTTCTTGTCATATTTTATTACCATTTTCTAAACTATAGCGAATAAACTGTGATAATGTGAGAAATGTTGAAGGTGTCTGAATAAATTTTGGTTTGACTGTATCTATTTGATAAATGAAGTTAACCAACTAACATTATACATACCCTTTTGGTTTCTGTACCCAATATTTAAAAAATGTACAAATGCAATAAAAATATCGGTATCGGTACTCGGTATCGGCAAGTACCAAAAATAAAAGTTTCGGTATCGGGCGAGTACTGTAAAAAGTGGTATTGGTGCATCCCTAGTTCGACCAAATGTCAGATGGGGGAGTGTTCGGGTAACCTGTTTGACAACAGTCGTTATTTTTATCATTTGGTTGGTGGCACAAAAATGACACACTTTTGCTTTATTTGTGTCTTGATATTTAAAATATCAGATCTACTAGTGTAGACCACAATGTTCAATAATAACTGCTGTACAGCAGTGGCCTCAAACCGCCCTGCAGAATTTAGCTTCAAACCTAATTAAACACACCTGAACAAGCTCATCAAGGCCTTTCAGGATTACTAGTGCTGTGTTCCATTTGTACTCAGAAGTTGGAAATTCCGAGTTCCCAGTAGGAACAGCAGGAACCCCCTCCCAATTCGGAGTTCTGACTCGGAATCTCGGAGGAATCGCAACAACTCCAAGTTCAGAATCCAATATGGCTGCTCAGTGCATCAGCAGAAGAGAAACTGTAGTAATATATTGTTTATTAGTGCATATGTTTGTCTGTGTCTCAATAAACTCAGTGGTGCACACAGTACTATCCAACCTCTATTTGGGGACGTGATACTATGGCGTTTATCTGTGCAAAATGCAGTTTATAATCAACTGGTATTGCTAACAATGGACGTGTCCATCATGGAACACGGTCCACTTGGGTTTGACGTCATTCCCAGCTCCGACTTCTGAGATAGATCGGGCACAGCATAGAAACTTCCAAGCAGGTGAGTTGGAGCTAAACTCTGCAGGGCTGTGGCCCTCCAGGAACTGAGCTTGAGACCACTGCTGTACAGGTTATGTCTCTAGCTTTCTTCAGATTTTAGATCTCTTATGGGATAAAATTACTATAGTTGTTTAGCGTCAGGTGTAAATATAAATAATATAATATATAATCAGAAGTCAGACACATCTATTTACTGATAAAGAACAAATAGGAGTTTTTTTTTTAAACTTTTTTTAATTTCTCACAAAATTTGAAAAGCATAAAATGGTTTTAATATGACTTCATGATGTTTATGCTTGCTGATTTTCTTTAGAAAGGGCAAAACCTGGAGCCATTTATCCAGTCATTCTTCAGTTCCTGTGAATCCCCCAAACCCAAACCCAGCAGACCTGAGCTCACCATCCTCAGCCCCACTGCAGAAAATAATAAAAAGGTGCGCTTACTACTCAAAACACTAACATTTCTTTCAATAAAAGCATTTTTTCCCCTTAGGATGTATTATATATATGTCATGTAATGTATTAAAACATGATTCAATCAAACATGCTTGTTCATAATTATCTGCACTTTCAATAGAAGATCACTTAGGATTTTGTCCCGAGCATAAAAAATTGCTCATTTATTAAATCTTTACTTTACATTTACTCTGCATTTCTAATATTTATACTAGCCTTATAAAAGACATTTTCTTAAAAAAAATTTAAATATTAAAAAATTGTGAAATATTACAATTCAAAAAAATTGAAGGTTCACTTAATTTTATTTTTCCTTTTGTCATTGAAAGATGTATCAGTACAAACTGTACTCAATATATAGTTTTGGAAATCTATTTACTGATCACAAATCATTCAAAAAATTAAATTGCATTGACTTGTCATATTCTCTGTGTATTTTTAATACTGGAAATAACATTTCCACTCATACCATTTTAGCTATTTAATGAGCTGTACAGAAACAATGCCAATCTGCCAGAGGGCCTGGAGAGAAAACACAACCAGAACTACTTCATGGAGCTGATGGAGGTTGATGGAGTATATGACTTTATGATGTACATAGGTGAGTGAATGTAATTCAAACAAACTGGAGTTTATTCATAAAAAAAATGGAGTATGGTTATTAAAATGAGAGCAAATACAGAAATTAAAAACCAAAACATGAAAATGTACTCATCTGTTTGGTGTTATATTTTCCAAAGAACACAAAAGTAACAGTTCATAGTGACTATGTTTGGACCATGAGAGTGTGTTAACAGTAGTCCATACGACTCGTGCACTTTCTCTTGAAGTCATATGACTGAGGATGGTATTGGTTCTCACATTTGTAGTAACCAAATGAGATGTGACACTTTTTTATTTCTTTACAGGCTGGTATTACATAACAGTATTTCACAGTTGTTAGTGGAGATTCTTTTTTTTTTTTTTTTTGACAGGTCGGGTGGTGTTCCACATGCCTGATTGGCTGCATCACTTTCTGAGCGGAGCTCGTATTCTCTTGAAGAGGACTCTAGAGGTGTATGTAGGGCATTATTTCCAGGTCAAACTAGAGCAGCTCATGCAAGAGCATTGCCTCGTCTCTCTCATCACTCTATTCCGAGGTTTGTGTGCTCAAGTCCACCTTTACAAAATCATATCTTCAAGTTCTTCAATACATGATACCTGTTATACACTCTAAAAACCCAAATATTGCCAAAATGCATCATGAACAATAGAACTTCTACATGGATGTTTGCAGTTAGTTTGTTCCTGGAGGCATGCCATCAGTACCTTATCTGGCTCATGCATTTCAGGACTTCCTTCCACTTCCCTTTAAACATACATACATACACTCTGACCAAGCACTTCCCTCAGGGAATGTCTGCTATTACTGGAAGTTCAACTGAGCAAAGGACATTTCTGTTGACAGACCCTCGATTAGGACAGAGGGAGCGAGCACACCTATTCATTTGTGCCTTATGTTGTCTTCAAAATCTGAGTATGATTTTTATTGTGCCACCAAAAATCAAACAAGGAAAAAAAAAAAATCTGGTAAAACGGCAAACTATTAATATGAATAATTCTCAGACAAAACATTTTAAACCGAAGCAGTATGGAAAAGCACATCTTCTCTGTTTTGTCCTGAAGCTCAAACAGTAGAACATGGTGCTAGCAGTGCCAAGATCATGGGTTCGATTCCCAGATTGGGATTCAGAGAGACACTTTGCAGGCATATTCATGACCATAAATGAGTAAAGGTCAAAACATTTCAAGAAATATGCAAGTTAACAAGTAATTCCAACAACTCAAAAACAACTCAAGAACTTCCAGTAATCAAAATGGGTCAAATTGTTCTGCAATCTAATATAAGGGATGTTTCAGGCAGCTCTATATCCCAAAATGCAATTAGACTTCACTTATTCTCTCCCACCCCACACAGCTCTTGTGTATGATGAGGGTTTTAACCACAGTTTTAAAGGGGTCATATGATGCGATTTCAAGTTTTCCAAGTTTGGAGTGTTACAAGCTGTTCGTGCATAGATAAGATCCCTAAAGTTGCAAAGACTAAAGTCTCAAACCCAAAGAGATATTCTTTATAAAAGTTAAGACTCGTCCACGCCCTCCTAAAACGCCTCGTTTAAACACGCCCCCACATGTCTACGTCACTATGTGGGAAGATTTGCATAAAGCCCCCCAAATGTTCACGCAAAGAAAGAAGGCGTAACTTTGAAGGCGTAACTCCGCCATGTCGTGGAGTTTCGTTGTGAAAGCGAAACTACTTTGTTTGGTCTTCCAAAAGAGGACACGACTAGAAATCAGTGGTTAAGTTGTATTTACAACACTGTTCCAGAACACTTCGACCCAAATATTCAGATGTGTGCAGCACATTTTATGGAGGACTGTCTCCTGATCCTGGGAGAGTAGACTACAATGCCGGCTGTTCTGACTCACAGACTGTAAGTACGTTTTCATATTTAAAGAATTTGCCACTGATGATTCAAACGTGAGTTTTGAGCAGTGTAGAGTAGCGCTTGTTGTTTGTCATTTCTCCAATCACAAATGCAGACATGGTTTTATGTTTACGTGATGCAACGCAATGTGTAAAAAGACAGTATAAGTCATTATGATCAGTAATTATGTCCCCACTGGATGTTGCCTCGTTTATAGTGGGTTTTATTGGTTTTGTTCCATCACACGGCATCACAGTATGGTAAGGGGCGTAACATTTCCGTCACACGCTTGGGGTATTCGGCCAATCACAACGCACTGGATAGCTGGCCAATCACAGCACACCTCGCTTTTCAGACCGATGAGCTTTGTAAAAATCAACGCGTTTCAGAAAGGCGGGGCATAGAGGAGAAACAATAATGTACAGTATGTGGAAAATAATGTGTTTTTTTTACCTTAAACCGCATAAACACATTTCATTACACCAAATACACAAAATAATGTTCTTCAAAATAATGTTGTTTAAAAATAAAGATTAAAACATAATAATCTTTTTAGCAACATTATATGACCCCTTTAACCAGATTTAACCACATAATACTTATAACTACATTTAAGTTGTTTTAGTTTATTGTATTGCTATTTTGTTTAAGTTTTCCCCAACAACTGACGTAGGCCTATAGAATGGTAGAATGGTGCATAAAACCAAATCATTAGGATAAAAATAGTAAATAATAAATCAGCTCCATTGTGAATTTCGGGCTACTTGCACAATGCAAGCACTCACAATCAAATCCATGGGATGGCACATAGTTAAGAAAAGAAGGCAATAAAATTGGAATGTAGTACAGTCTATATGAACAAGCTGATGAGTTTGATCAAGTGTTTTATTGGATAGACGTACATAATGTGCTGTGTTGGTGAACCTCCAGGATTAGGGTTAGGAAACACTCTTTCCATGGCTCATCCTAATGGTTAGAGAGTCAGACTTGTAACCCGAAGGTCACTGGTTCGAGTCTCAGTACTGGCAGGGATTGTAGGTGGGGGGAGTGAATGTACAGCGCTCTCTTCCACCTTCAACACCCACGACTGAGGTGAGACACTTGAGCAAGACACTGAACCCCCAACTGCTCCCCGGGCGCCACAGCAATATGGCTGCCCACTGCTCCAGGTGTGTGTTCACGGTGTGTGTGTGTTCTCATGGTTAGATTTGAGTTCTTCAACTGATCTGATTCTGCACCTCTGCAGATGCTGTTTTCTGTGAGAGCACAGAGGAACGCTCTCTTGAGGACAAACAGAGACGAGCCAAGCAGACCTTTGAGGAGATGATGAACTACCTGCCAGGTACCTCATAACAGCTGCACTGATCGGTTGTTTGTGACGAGCCCTGCTTTTGAGCCAGACCTCAAGTGCGTTTTCCTGTCCGTGTCGAGATGCAGCAGGTTTATGGTTATGTGTTGTCATTTGAAGGTTTTGAATACAAATAATAAAATGCAACTAACCATATAAAGGAGTGCAGGATAGTCAGTATTTAGAAGGGAGGAGAAATACTTTTATCTGCAAATATTGTTAGGCAGTTAATCAGCATATAATCTTATCATGTTGACAAAAATTTCAAAGGAACATCTCTAACTGATGTGTGGTGTTTCTCAGGTCTGGTCGGGAAATGTATCGGTGAGGAAGCAAAGTATGAGGGCGTCAAGATGCTTTTCAACACCATTCAGCAGCCACTGCTCAACAAACAGGTGCAAACTGCCATACACTCATCTAACGTCCTCAAACATAACTCTCACTCTCTGCTCCCTTCTCTTTATTGACCTCTTGTTTGCTAATAGATGACGTACGTGCTGCTTGACATCGCTGTCCAGGAGCTGTTCCCAGAGCTCAGTGAGGTAACGCTCTCCTGCACCACTCACACTGAGACACAGAGCAGCTCATGATGTTTATTAATGGAGCTTCTGCTGTTTTGTCTTTTGTAGAATCAGAAGGCAGGTCTCTCCGTCTCCACTAAATGGATGTAAAACATTATCGGACTTAACATCAACATTATAAAGCGTTTATTGCACTACTAAAATACAATTATTTATTGACTTTAATGGGGTTTGTTTGCCATGGTTATTCGTTGAATCATTGGAACCCTGCCTTATTTGACCAGTCTGGTTTAAATCGTAACAGCATTATAACAAAAGGTTTGGATCAAGTAGATTGTGACATAATGTCATTATCAGTATGATAACATTCTTCAGACCTGATGTAAATAAACCATTTTACACTCTTGATGGTCCCCGAAGATGCTCAAAAAGACACAGAATACAGACAAGTAAAAAAATCTAAATCAAAAACAGAACTGAGACATTTCATATGTCACACAGTTAAGAGCCATGTGCAAAATAAAAGTACTGAAAACATGTTTTGTAAATGTTCTGGCTTTGCACGCAGTAAATAAAATCTTAATATATCCAGCTTCTTTGTCCCTGGTTATGTATATCACAATAAATGATTAAAAAAGAAAATCTATATAAAATAAATGCTTTATAAAAATATGAATAGCTACCTTGTGAAAAAGGGATGGAGATTTCTTGCCAGAAAAAGTTGTGATGTTTAATGAATCATAATCAGGAAACATGACAAATTAAAGATAAATAACTTCACCCTTTTTATAAGAATATCAGGAAAAGATGTACAGGTCATAATTGAGGAAAATATATTTAATACAAAACAAATATTATCCAGTTGATAAAGTCAACATGAATTAAGTCATACTACCATGTTGTATGATATAAACCCTACTTTACACTTTAAATTTATTTCCACATCACAATCATGAGAATTTGGAGTTATGATTAGCTTAATTATCATGAAATATTACAAAATAGACCTAAAAAAAATAGGCTTTTGTAAGCAAAAAGGGTTTTGAAGTGAAATATGATCTGGACATTTCTTTGTGAGATTCAGCATAATATACCCTCTATGAGTGCTATGAACTTTATGTATAAAGAGGTATAGAAAATGCCTGTATAGACCAATTTCAGTGTTTGCAAACAGTCTATCTAGTGGCAGAAAATGCCAGTTTTAACGTAGCAGTCTACGCAAGCCATGAAATAAAAGAATAAAAAAAGGTATATTTTGAGTTTTTATTTCAAAGTTCTGACTTTTTTCTTGCAATTCCGAGATTATATCAACTCGTCGTTCTCTCTTTTCCCCTCGGCTCAGAATCATGAGTTTATAATTCCACACTTCTGGCTTTTTTTCCCCCTCAGAATTGGCAAACTCGCAATTGTTGAGGTAAATCAAGTTATAAAGTCCAAACTAGGAGATATAAACTTGTATTTGCAAAAAAAAAAAAAAAAGTCAGAATTGTGAGTTAAAATAGGTAGGCTAAATGTAATGTAAAATGTTATAGGTTTAAATAGTATGACTGTAGGGCTAATACAATATGTCCCCAATGTGAATATTATATAGACCTATTGTTTAAATCAAATTTATGCTTTAAAAGTAGGGTAATCGTAGCAGGTTTCATCCATAGTTTGTCCGTTTGAACATCTGCGTTTAGCTTCAAATGGCGTCTTTGAGGACATTATTCTATAAAAATGATATGCATCGGATTCTGACATCCAAAAGCACAACAATACGTTTTTTCTCTTATTCCATGGATTTTACCCGTTTCCCTCCACTTGTTCCCAGTGTTTTTCTGCCACCACAATGCGTGCGCAGCTGCAAGTGACGTAACTGTGACGTCTACTCCAAATTGGTCTATAGAAGATCCCTATAGAATACGACCTTGTGTAACAAGACGAGTGACTTTCTTTGATCCGTACTACATCACAGTGCTGCTAATCTCTTTTGAGTAAGCTCTTTGCTTCTATGACAGTAACTAATCTTTGGGTCAAAGGTTTCCTCTGACTGTACAATTATACACAAATGGTTACATGCTTTTCTCACAAGTACAATAAAAACAGCTAAACAAACATGACCCAGAGTACCCACACCAGTAGAATAGTGGACAAATATCCTCGATGTCCAATACAAGAGCTTGAAAACCGAATCCGTCCTTCCACAGCTGGATGAACTCTCTTTCGCTCCGAGATGTAGCTGGCAATAACTGCTATATCCAGGTCGCCTATGGAATATGGTACACAGTATATTGTAATGCTAAGTATATGATGAAATGTGCAGTAAAATGTGCATATATAATAGTGACTTACCACTGTCATGCTTGAGTTTCTGTTCTTTGATCATAGAGTATCCATCCCCTCCGTCCACTAGGTAAGAGGGCAGCACCACTTTATACACCTTCTTTGAGTTGAGCGGTTCATAACGGGGCACTCGACACTCAGTGCAGAGCACATTCACACTTTTAACACGGTTTCCAGGTGGTTTCGATAAATCATACACCAGCTGAAACCCTGCAGAGGCATTATAAAACGGATAAAATGAATACTAGTTGGGACATATGGACTTGTTTTATAATGCTTTAAGTTCATAACGTTTGTCCATGGGCTTCCAGTACTCCGATTGAGGGGAAATATAGATTAGAATATAATGATAATTCCCAAGGTAAACGCACCTGCCACCTGTAGAAATTCACCAGTGCTTCCTCCGTATCTGCGAACTGAGTGCTCAAAGACCTCGTGCAGAGTAGAGCCATTGATTTGGACCAGGTCAAATGTACCTCCAAATGGCAACACCGCGATCAAATCCTCCATCGTGATGGAACCTTCAGTCGAAACATGCATTGGGACGCTTTCAGTATTATTTCTAATATGCACTGGAGTAATATAAATATATATATATATATACAGCTCAAAAAATTAAGGGGACGCGTAATTATCACAGTATAACACCAAGTCAATTAAACTAAAGGCATATCGATCTGTCCAGTTAGGAAGCAAAAGTGAAAATGAGATGGTGTAAAAGAAAACAGGATAAAGCCGTACCATTTCTGTTTCGCTCATCAATAGGTGATCGAATGGCTCCACCATTCAGAATACAAGAGCTGACATGGTTCCACTGGATTTCATCAGCATATTTAATATTATTATGGACCTGAAATACACGCGGAAAGGGTCTATGGGTCTTATGAGCATGATTTTCAGCAAATCTACCATCTTAAAATAGCAATTTCCATTTTCACTGGTTAAAATCTTTGCTCTTTGGATCATTGTTGTTACTTTTCGAGATTTGATTTCCTTCTGAGACTGCTGATAGTTCATATTGGGATTGAGGTTTTGCAGCTGAGCGTTTTGGCTTTGGCTGAGCGATAAGTGCTTGATTTATACTTTTTCAGGTACAAAGATTGTTTTTGAATGCGTGTTTGTTTGCACCTGGTATGAGTACCTTTCTTGTGATCAATTACAAGTCAAGAAAAGACAGATGTTAATACAAGATGCAAACAAACACGCATTCAAAAACAGTCACATAATCTGTGTCTCTGCATGTTGATATCAGTGGATGGTCCTACAAATGTGATGTATTTACATGCCTCCAAATGTGCTTGGGTGATTACAGAACACTCAGGACTCAGTTTACAATGGGGCCTAAGGTTAACATCTGCCTTGTGACTGAATGCATTTATAGCCATTAAGGTTGGGTGTTAGTCCCATCTAGAGTAGTCCTCATGTCCATGGAAAAACAATATGCAAAATAATGCTATCAAAATAAAATAAATGCATAAGAATAACAGCAAATGTATCTTTAAAATCACAGACTTATGCACTCACCATGGCATCACAGATTAAATTTCCCAAATTACATTCACGAAATCGACATTCCTCAAAAGTCCCATTGAGATAGACTAGAGTCTGTCCCACATACTGAGAAGAGTAATTGGCCAGATTCTTCCTCCAAGCGTCCACTTCAGCCTGAATGACTGGATCTAGACAAAGTCAGGTCACAGGTTGACATATTGAAACTGGCAATTCACAATAGAAACACATCACATCTGATAGATACAGTGTAGTACAGGGGTGTCCAGTCCTGCTTCTGGAGGGCCAACATCCAACTTGCTCCAACACACCATCCTGGAAGTTTCTAGTCCTCCTGAAAACCTTGATTCAGGAGTCTTTAATTTGGGTTGCAGCTAAACTCTCCAAGACAGTGGCCCTTCAGGAGCATGACTGGGCCCCCGATATATTATAGTAGTATATTCATGTCCCTTGAGTGCACCAAGTATTTTCCTGTTCATGTTCTCCATAAGGATTTTGAAAATGTCTTTAATCAAGTTTACAACATTACAAACTTGAAGCAAATCTGGAAGAATCCAGGAAAAGACGAGAATTTGCTCACAGATTTAGTTGTAGGCTGTATTACACTTTTATTTGAGCAGAATTTCTCATTAGAGATCGCTAAAATCCTACTTTCCATGTTTGCCAGTGTTTTCAGCTCATCAGCGCTTTTTCCGTAATGTAGAGAGAGCACATGTGAATGGTAGCCAAGTTGGAAGATAAAATAAACCACAGGGCAAAAAATGCATTCATTCAAGATAAAAGCTGGTTTAAGGATAAATAAATGAATAAATTGAGAGTAGCAGAAATCGATCACAATTCAAATATGATTTGTCGTGCAGCCCTATCTGAACTGAACCAACACTGAACTGAGCAGAATAGTGACACTGTTGTCTTTTAGAGCTGCTTTGCAGCAGAATCTGAATTGTGTCCATAGATGAGTTTCCATAATTGGTTTGCTACTGTGAAGCTGCTATGGCATGATCTGTACTGTATAATGCACTATAGAAATAAAGGTGGCTTGACTTACAGTCATTGATTAAGTATCAAATTATCTATCTGAAGTGTACATGTCAACCAACTCAATAACAACCTTGCCAAAGCTTCACTGACGTGGACGGTTGCTGCTCAACTCCCTAGTTACAGTTTTCATTTTCATGATAACAGAAAATTCTTAGCTCAGAATTTGACCACTGAACACACTGTTTAAAAAAAACAACAACTTCATGGCAGAACAAAGTTCAACGTCTGTTTCCCTACTGCGAAGATGGGTTTTTTTCTTCCGGAGGCCTGTTGTCCTATCAGCTTTATTGACTTGCCATGTGCTTTAAATTCTCTCATTTGTTTCCAGGTTTAGAGTTTTCGTACCTGGTGCTGTCGAGCTATCCAGAAGAATTGGATTGCCTGAAGACTTCACTACATTCCCATTTGAATCAAAAGTCACTTTTAGGAATCCCAGATATTTTCCAAAGGCATAGGCCTGGACCACAGGAACCTTGCGCCCATCATCTGACTGGACCGTGAATGGATATTGTCCTGCGGGAACTTCTGTGGATGGTGGAGTTCCTACAGAAATCAGCACACAAAATAAATGACCGGAGAGGAA